TCATCATCATCATCATCATCATCATCATCATCATCATCATAATACTTGATGTGGCAATACCAGGTATAATAGAATAGAAGACAAAGAATTGGAGAAGATCAGCAACTATCAAGATCTGAAAATCGAAACGGAAAAAATCATGGCATAAAGCAGCTATGGTAGCCCCATGATGATTACATGGCACATTGAGTACCATACTAAAAAAAAATCTTGGATGGCACTTAGAAAATCTGTGCATTGATAAATTTTACATCTCTCAATTGAAAAGGGCCACACTGCTTGGATCCATGCATATATACTACACCAATACATTTCGATGTCTTAGGTTCTTGGGAAGAATTCAATGCATAGAATCCCACAATTGCAGGAATTGGGTATGTCTAGCCTAATGAGAAGAAGGGCCAGGGGGGGACATGATAGCAGTCTTCCAATATCTAAGGAGTTACTAGAAAGAAGAAGGGGTCAGCCTCTTCTCCAGAGCACCTGAAGGGACAACAAAAAGCAATGGATGGAAACTAATCAAGAAGAGAAGCAATCTAGAACGAAGGAGAAGTTTCCTCATAGTTAGAACAACTAATCAGGGGGACAGCTGGCCCCCAGAAGTTGCAGATGCTCCATCACTGGAGGTTTTTAAGAAAAGACTGGACAACCATTTGTCTGAAATGGTATACAGTCTCCCGCTTGACTGGGGTTGGACTAGAAGACCTCCAAGGTCCCTTCCAACTCTATTTGTCTGTATTCTATATGAAGGCTAAACCAGCTAAAGAGCTAGCAGCTGTGACTTCATATTGTTGTGGACAGATGATGATGATGATGATGATGATGATGATGATGATGATGATGATGATGATGATATGAAGAGGTTATTTTATTCTCTTGCAGGGATTAAGGGTTTTATTGGTGTCCTCACTTCATAAATTCCTTCACAAATTCATCTCTCTCTCTCTCTCTCTGTTTATTCAAATATAATTTCAAATGCACCCTTTCTGTAAAATATTAACCCTCAATTTGTTGCTGCTATTATTAGGATTCTAAACAGACCTAACTAGAATTCTCCACATTTTACTTCTTTTTTGCCCGTTCTAATTCTTTATAATTTTCCATGTTGAAACATACATAGCCTGTAAAATCTTTGCGAACAACGTCTGAAAATTTTTCAGTAATCTTACCAAACATTCCCAAATTCCCCTAAGGAGTCCTATCTAAAAAGATAACAAATCAGCATTGAAGCTGGGAGGTTTGGTTTGAGTCGGGAGTCCGAATTGGCAGCTGCTGGATAATCCATACCTGGTAATATGAGGATGTCCACCAGTGGCTTGCAATGATACAGCCCGGTTGCCATGACGCAGTCGGCCCAAAGTCCCTTGGACCCCAGCTCATCCATCTTCCGGCAAGTGGTGATGGTGTATCCACAAGTCACAACCCATTCGTTTGTGGAAGTGGCCACAATCAAGGCAATCCAACCCACAAAGCTAGACACAAACCCAGTGAGATGTAGGCAAGTGGCAACCATCTTTCCCCTAAGCTTGGCTGAACACTGAAAAACTGGCAACCCAAAAGAGGGAGGTCTGACTGTAAGTGGTTCAGCTAAAGGCACTGAAATGAGATCAGCTGGGACGGAGATGCTTGGCATCTGTTAGCCCAGCCCCTGGGAGGAGTCTGCTCCCATACAGATAGAGGGGAGGTGGCTCAAAACGTGCCAAGTTTTGTTCTTCTTTTCCCTTTGTTTAAAACTTCCTGCAATTACACAGTGAGGAAAGGGAACACAGAAAGGCAAATGGGAGGAGAGAATCCACATTTAGGTCCAAGTTTAAATGAGGCCTGATCCTAAGTTAGAAAAAACGCAACGGGGAAAGATTTGGGGACCATGAATTAAAGGAAATGAACTTTTTCAAAAGCAGAGAACACAAAAGGCTGGCTGATTACTGGGTCCGTTCTCTGAAGGGATTCTCTTGTTGCATAATACGCAAGCACACACTGCTCGGATCCATGCATATATACTACACCAATACATTTCGATGTCTTAGGTTCTTGGGAAGAATTCAATGCATAGAATCCCACAATTGCAGGAATTGGGTATGTCTAGCCTAATGAGAAGAAGGGCCAGGGGGGTGACATGATAGCAGTCTTCCAATATCTAAGGGGTTACTAGAAAGAAGAAGGGGTCAGCCTCTT